ACGAAGGTAGAGATCGAATCCCGAGATGCATCCGCCTGTGATGAGTGAGGAAAATTATTACAAAATGAAAACAAATAGGATAAACCTTATGTCTCTGAAAATGGGAGAAAAGAGGAAAGGGCCGGAAGAGAGAAGGAGAGAGGGGAGGAATAACAATGACTTCCTCCCCCCTCAAACTGAAAATGGTTGTGGAGTCAAATAGTATGCTCAAGTGGTCACGTTGTTGTTTTTTACTTTTGCCTGACCTTCATTTAGACCAAAACTGCATCTCCATTATGAGGCACATCCAATTGAGTCCATTTTGTGCGCAGTGTAACCAACAAAAGTAGGGCGGCTTGACAGCAAAGACCACAGATTAAGCCAATCCACAATCCCTGTACCAAAAGAAATTGAGCACAAAGTGTGAATTGAAATAGAAACGTAAACAAAACAATTCGCAAGGGCTCGTAGCTCAAGTGGTTAAGAGCATTTATTCTTGTACTAGGTTCGATTACCCCTTCCCCAATATCGCTTCTATAAAAACAAAACAAAACAATTCAACTACTAGCTAGCTACAAGGTTAATTGTCTCACCTTAGCATATAGTTTCAACTTAAATCCAACAACACATGCAACTGTCATGCCAACCAAATAGAATGCACCCAAGTTTACATACATAGCCAAGTGCTGAAAGCCACATCCTCTGGCCACACCTGAAATACCAAAAACAATTAACTTCCATGGATGCTCAAGAAAAAGAAGGGAAAAAGAACAAACTTCAAATGCAAAATAACAGATAGAATTGGCTCCTGCTAGGAAAGTGGAGGATCCTAACCTGACAAGACACCTTGCACAGAATCAGCCATTATTGAAATTGCAAGAAATGGTGTCATAGAAGCAAAAAGCTTGATTATTGCACTGCTGTCACTGAAAAAGCCAGCCCATATATTGTGACCAAATGCTAGAGCCAGAACAACAAGGAGACCAAGAAGCACAGAGAGCTTAAGAGTCACAGCCATTGCCTTCTTGGCGTTGTCAGGATTGCCTGCTCCTAATTCATTTGACACCCTTGTGCTACACCACAACAAGTAATGTTGTTTCAAGGTATGAAACAGAATGCTGATACCGAAAAACTAGAAGGAATAAGGAGAACCTGGGAAATTATTGTTCAACCAACCTTGCAGCAGCACTGAGGCCATATGTAATCATGTATGCAATTGCTTCTGTATTCACACTGAAGATATAATCAGAAAAGGCTACTTGGGGCAGGTGGAAATAATCAGAAGTTTAGAGCATAAAGCTTACCACATTGCAGTTAGTGAAGTGGTTTGTTCTGCGTTTGGCATCAGTCCTGCCAATAACACCAGAATCTCAAAAGCCCAGTACTCCAAGCTGGAAAGATAAAAATGTGAAGCATTTTAATACTTCAAATCAATCTCATGCACAGTTGATGTATGGTTCTTTTTCTTTCTAACATATGGTCTTAAATCTAAGCTGACAATCAGTCTTTCGTGTATTTGAATTTGACTGAGCATTTGAACTACTTCTATAGTCTGTGTCTATAGCTGAATGAGGCTATGTGCCTCATCTGGGATTTAAGCATTAACTTACAGAAAAAGGCAAAGAAAATTTGAACACTTACCATACCATTGCTGCTGAGGGGAGGGCAAGTTTCAAGGCAGCAAGGACATAATGGAACGATTCTATCGAAAATCCTTCCCATGTAAGCTCAAACTTCTTTGCAAACATAACATACATGGCCAGCATTAGCATCGCTATCCATATTGAAATTGAACATGCTAGGGCAGCTCCCTTGAAACCAAGAGTTGTCCAATGTACCAAAGCATATGCAACGAAAATATGAATAACCACTGGGATCAGTGAGAGGAAGACCAACGGCATTACAACAGATTGTGTCTGAAGAAATCTCAATATGTTATGCATGAAGCCGAATGCAAATAATCCCGGAATCAGAAATTTCATATAAAGAGCAGCAGATTTTGAAATTTGAGGATCTTGATGAAGTAAGATAAGTATGGGTTCTGTGTAGAACCAGACTACAGATATGATGATAGAGACCAAGAAAGAAATTATGGATGAGGCTTGTAGATATATCCCCAACATTCTGTATAACTTTGCTCCAAATCCTTGCCCACACAGTGTCTCAAGAGCTCCACTTAACCCAATCTAAACCAATAAATAATAGACAAGAAAACAATTCAAAGTTTGACCTGGAATCTTATCAAATTTATTTATGTCATCTCAGATACAACTCTGGACATCTACTTCAGAATTGCTAGCTACTAGAATATTAAAATATAAAGACAAGTCCAAATTTTTTATTGGCGATCATTTTCTGAACTGCACAGGCTGCTTGCTAGGTGCACAATTCTTGTACATGGCTTTTCCCATATGAAACTTGAATACCAATAACAAGAGCACAATTTTTTTTTAAACCTACTGCTTGGATTTTCTATTAGTCTAATCTCCTCTGAAAAATTAATAACAAGAGCACATCTTAAGCATTATTAAAAAAAGGGCTTCCATTCTTTCTCACAGAGACAGAGCAAATGAAATTACTCCCACATAAAGACTGTTCCATTGGTTTTCCTAGTAGTATACAAAATGGACAGGACATGAGAGAGAGAGAGAGAGAGAGAGAGAGAGAGAGTTACCTTACCATGAGAGCGAAACCGGTAACGGTGGCCCATGAATTGGCAAGTGTGGCACCAGCAAGTTCAACCTCACCAAGGTGACCAGCAAGCATGACAGATATCAAGGGGATCAAGTAATAGCAAACATTGGTAAGAATCATTGGCAAGGAAAACAAGACCTGGTTCTTGGCCTCCTCCATGTCCAACAGTTTATTCCACCACCCCCTTTTTCTTCCTTGTTGATCGCCATGGCCACCTGCCTCTAATAACGGTGTAGCAGTGCTCCTGTCTGCAGATTCTGCAACTGTGTTTGCTGGCATATCCATCTCTAGCACTACCTCTGTCTTTCTTCTGTTTCTTGTTTTTTCTTCTTCTTATTCTGCTGTTGTGCAATGCGTTCTCTTTTTAATTAAAAAAAATGGCATGTGGATATTTATTTTAAGATATAGAATGGTTCAAGATCTCAAATTCCAATCTAGACAAGACTGATTTTTCTTTTAATTTTAATTTTTTTAATATGAAAAAGTGTGAATTTATCATATTATCCTCATTTAATTAATAATTTTAGTTCTTAATGTTGTCATTAACTAATGACATTTTCTAGTATTTTGAATATTTCACCATTCTCTGCCTTTTGCTATATATATATATATAGATATATACACGTTCAATTTGGCTGATTTTGGTATTTTTCGTATAATTTGGTCATAAACGTGCACACGGGCACATGCTGAGGCTCACACACACATCAAAACAGATTAACGTGAACTTATATGGACCAAAATGATAATTCTAACAAAATACAACTACAAAAATGCTATTTAACCCTAATAAATGAGCCAAAAGCTGTGACTTTGGCAGGCAGGATATATGGTTTTATATCATATAAGATTTGTTGAACAGAAATCTCTTTTGGGCAAAGAGATATGCTACCAGACAAGTATGAAACGCTAGCATACAAGATCCCACTTGTTTCATGGGCCACTTGATTTGAAACTTGACGTACACATTCACAATTAACAACAGTGAGACCAGGGGCGTTTCCCCAAAAACAATAAAGGATTGCTAGCAATCTTCTCTTTAACCTTCTTCTTTAAACTTTCTTTATTTTTTGTTTGACATGTGTCATTCTTCTTACACTTAAAACAATGTCATTAATATATTATACAAGCTAACTTTTGCTTTCCAAGTTTACCCTTATTATTCAATTTATCCAAAAAAAATTCACAACTTTCTTACCATCTTATTATAAAAAAAAAATTTAACATCAATTATTTTTTTATAAAGAAAATGTTTGTTTTACAAAAAAAAAAAAAAAGAGGAAGTGTCCTTTTTTTAAATTTAAAAAAAAGTCTAAACTTGACGTTAAAAAAAAGGGACATTTCCTCTTTTTTTTAAAAGCATACATTTTCTTAAATTTAAAAAAATTGACGTTAAAAAAAAAATTAATAAGATGGTAAGAAAGTTGTGAAATTTTTTGGGATAAATTGAATACATTTAATAAAGGTAAATTTAGAAAGTAAAAATTAGCTTATATAATATATTAATGACATTATTTTAAGTGTAAGGAGAATGACACATGTCTTTTCTTTTTGTTAAAAAATGATACATGTCAAGCAAAAAATAGAGAATATTCAAAAGAAAATGTTAAAAAGAAAGTTGCTAGCATTCTCAAAACAAGATTGGTTTAGCAGTTCTCTCCTCTTGTCTACGTCTACAGCAACTTCTTTTTGTTTTCTTCCTTGTGACATCAACTTCTCCCTCCCAGCATAGGACAAGTATGGGCCATGGCCTATACTCACACTATTTTTTATCATATATATATGGGATATATTATTCTTCTCTCTCTTCCCTTTCTTTCCTCCTCATCTCTTTTCTCTCTTATTTTTATTTTCTTCTTTTCCTCCACAGTTATTTTCTTCTTCCTATTTTCTTGTTTTTCTCTCTTCTTTGCAACAATTATTCTTTTAATTCTCTCTTTTTGGTCATCATATGCATCTTTAATTTGAAATTGAGTATTCTAGGTTTAATTAGGAATGAATTATAATTTGAAAATTTTGTTGAAATTAAATTAGGGCTTTAATTTTAGAAATTCGGTTAAGATGTTTGATTTGTTTTTTTTTATTGTTGAGATATTTGATTAAACACATTGATGATATTATGAGAATTAGTTTATTAATTTAATGTGATTTAGGATTACGTCGTCTAGTTTTAGTTTTTGTATTTGTTTAACTTTTATTTATAAATAGAGATGCATTTGAAGGTAAAGCTCATTACGTCCCCTAATAAGGTATATCCTTTTATGTTTATTAATGAAATTTACTCATATCATCGAGTTTAGTATGTAAGTTTTGCTTAATCGACATTTGAATCCTGAAACTCCCACTGAGTGAGACACATGGGAGGCCCTTGGCATAGGTAAGGCGCCCGCCTAGGGCCTCCAAATTGGGAGGACCCCCAATGTGTATAAACTTCTATTTTATAATACAAGCGATAGTCTAACTACAAACGGGAAGTGGTTTCTCACACACACTACCAAGGTGTCATGGGAGTTCGAATCTGAGACTATTAGTCTGTAAGTCAAGATCCTTTTTTCATTAGGCTAGACTCTGTTGGATGTATAAACCTCTATATATACATACGTATGTTACTTTTTAAAAAAAGGTAATAGATTAATTTTATGTTAGGCCCAAGTATCGTTATTTAAAAATAAATAATTATAAAATAATAAATAAATAAAAGGCCAATTATTCACTCTAAAACTAAAAAGAGGAAACTCAACTAAAGGGCTAATATTTATTTAAACTTACAGCTTAAGTAAATTAACCTAGTTGAATGGGGAAAAAAAATCTTTTCAAAGTTGAAGTTGATCAAGTCTTACATTCGGTCAACTCTTAGCTATGTTATCCATTACATGATATAAAAAATTTGATTTTGTAAAGTCAATTGATACTTTTGCTTTGAAAATTGGAAGACGAGTGATATTTAAGTAATGTTTTGATGCATTTTATAAATTTGTTTTGTGAATTACATATTGTTTGTTCCTTTTTAGATTATAATTGTAACTTTGAGTTCATATAATTTTTTTTAAGTTACTAAAAAAAATGCACATAAATATACATAGAGGGTAAAAGGCCACATTTTGGTGATTCGCCTAAAGCCTCCAAAACATTAGGACCCACAAAGACTGAAATTATGAGTGATTTATTTTTATAAGTAGAAAATGAAGAAATCAAATTTGATACATCTTCTAACATTTGTGTGTTGGTATTTGGAATTATATACAAGAATGAATATATACTAATGTATAAAGAAGTCATTGGGAGCATGAGGTGTCTATTTTTAAAGTCAACAATATCAGCTTCTTATTATGAGATATGCATGGCCGCCCCTACTTTATTGGAGATTTTCAGAACAATTGGGGACCATGGCCATGGTTAATTTGTAAAATATTATCTCACCCATATACCCAACCTGGGTATAGGGAGTTTCACTAAAACACCCAAAATGGAGGTTGAAATTATAAAAAAACCCAAGCACTATTTAAACATATAAACACACCCAAAACCCATCATTACACACACTCAAAATCCATTTATAAACACACCCAAAAAGTTGACTTTGGGGTTGATTTTGGGTGTGTTTCTATGTTTAAATAGTGCTTGGGTTTTTTTATAAATACATGTCTAGGATTGGGTTTATTTATAAATTTGGGTATAAGCACAATTTTAACTTAGTTTTACTCAGAACCCAAATAATATATAAAAACTTAGAAGAACAAACAAGAAGAAAGTTCCTCTTGGTCCAAATAAAAAAAGAAGAAGAAAGTTCCCTTTTCTCTTCGTCCTATGTTTTATATGCTTAGAACAAACAAGACAATCCACAAGGAGAAGAAGAAAATGTCAACATTTTAACAAAGAAGTGCTAATCACGTCTAAACGTAGATGACTACATCATACATTCAATAGATATAATTACAAATTCTGTATAGCTAGCTAGCTAGCATTCTGTATAGCTAGCTAGCATTGTCCCAAAAGGTTTGCTTGTAATCCAAAATTCAACAAAGTTACAATCCGTTTTCGCCCGTAGCTTTTAAAATAGGGAAAATACTTGCTTTATTCTCTAAAAATAGGAGTTTCTACTTTCTTGCCAATCATAATTTGATATGTATGTGCGTATAGATTTTTCTTTTTATGTTTTTGATACATTGTTTTTGCTTGTGTCTAACTGTGATTTGCAGGAAATATGAATGCCTCTTTACAGGGAAGGAGAGAAGTAGTGTCCTATAAAATATTGTTACCAAACTTTATATTCTCCCATTACAATTTAAAAATACAAATCTAGCTAGAGTTTTGACTCTTGTTATGGTTGAGATCAATTTTGCTTCTATTATCACTCTTATTTTTCACTGATACGATGACATCATTTTTTAATAATAAATTTTCAACATTCCTTCTATCATATACAAAGTTTTTAAAGCAACATTAATCATCAATACGGTCTAGCCTAGTGAAAAAGGGTCTTGACTTGTAGATTTGATGACAGGACCCGCCCCAGAATTTCCCCTAGACCCGAGGCGGATCCCGTCTTGGTGCCGACATCACACTGATGCCGGGCCCACTTACTAAAAATCCAAGACATCCTACCAAAAATTTGGCAAAGTCTCCCCTGTAAAATGCTCAAACCCAACAATATTCAACCTGCATAATTTACATCATAATATATTTCAACTGCCAGCATGCTTTAACATACAACAATCCAACATAAAATGGCCTCCGGCCTCAAGTAGCAGCCTAACATGGGCGATAACAGAGCATCTACAGAATTTGTTTACAACAAACAGTAGAGTAGAAAGAATTTATATAGACCCTAACAACTGACGACAAGTTTGGAGCTCGTGACTTGCTCGAATGCCTCCAAAAGCAACTACTGTCTGGGGGGCTCAAAACAGAAATATGTGAGTGGACAGAAATAAAGTTTGCACTTTAAATCAACATAATAACCCCACCATGTAAAAATAATGCTCTAGCATGCAGTTTCACAATTCAGAAACCAAACTCAAAACACAAAATCCCCAAAATCCAAAACATCTCCACATCTCAAATCCACAAGTCATTTCCCCAAAGATATGCAACTCTCATCAACCCGTAAATACCCATATATAAATGTATATATCCATATATATATATATATATATAGGACTTAAATATAATATACTGCTTCACTCCATACTAATGTACCGGGGAAACAATCCAACCGGGGGATTGTTAGCTGGTACGCAGGATTTCCGAACACTAACCCGCGTCCAGGGATGAGTAGTCCAACCGGGGGACGGAACTCCATAGCTCACACGCCGGCACTGCCAACGACACGTGTAGCTCACAAATCTCATATCAAGTCCTACGCGCGCAGACAGTATCATCCCATACTCTATATATAGATAATATAGATAGTCATCCCAAAATCCATATCAACATATTCATCATACTCAAATATATATATATGTCTATACTCAAAATATATATATAGCCAAGGTGTGTAAGCATATTCAAGTCCATCAATTAAATGCTTATTAACTCAAAATTACCATTTAAAATATATGCACAAAACTTTCATCAATAAAACCATGCATATGCTTAAAACAAAGTCCACTCACAAATAATCCCAAGCTGCCCGGCCCCGAGAGGGTCC